CCGGGTGCCTGGCGCCCGCCTCAGGGATACGGGAGGGTTGGGGGTCTCCCATAGCCATATTTTGTACTCCGGGCCTTCCCGCCTGCCCTCCGGGCTGGGCTGGCGGGGCTGGGGATGTGCCTCCTCCTCGGTCCCTGCCCGCAGTGCTCTCCGGGGCCGCGCCTGATAGTTATTGCCCGGGCGCGGGACCCTGCTGCCTTCTCCTTTGCAATAAACTCTTCTTGTATTTATTGCCGGAGCCTGCATCAGGGCTGGGGTTGGGGCGGGCATGCCGAGAGCCACCCACTAGTGCCCGTGGGTGCCGGAGCTGCCCTGGCTGGGTGCTGCGGGAAGGTGTCCGCCCTGTCCCCGGCAATGGGTGCGGACGGCCCTGGGCAGGAGGTGGGGGCTGCTCTGCTGCCCATGGCCTTGAGGCTTGTTTTCTCCCCACTGCTGTGCGACGGGCTGTCGCGGGTGCGGGCAGAGGGGAGCAAGGCCTCTGTGCCCACGCCAGCCAGGACGGGGGTATCGCAGAGCCTGGGGCCGGGTGGTGGGGGGGGGAGGATCGGGCCCAGCCGTGCCCTGCCCCCTGCTGGTGATGGACTGTAATGGCATGCACAGTCCCGCGTGGTCCCGTCCCCCCACCCCGGCCCTGTATCTGCCTTGCGGGGGCAGGCCCCCAAGCCCCCTGGGCTGCGTGCTCCCCACGGCACCTCCATGCAAAGCCCCGGGGCGCCGTGCCCGGCAGCCAGGACCTCCCCCCATCCTGGGAAAGTCAAACCTGTTGGCAGCACCAGCCTGGGGCACAGCAGCCCGTGTTTCCTCAGGCAGGGGAGGAGCGGCTGCCCCAGAGAAGAGCTCTGAACAGGGGAGCTGTGCTGCTCCATCCCCATCCCCATCCCCATCCCCTGGTTATGCCCCTGCCTGGCCTCTGCCCTCCTGGCATGCCCCAGGAAACATGCAGCCCTGGGGACAAGTCTGTCCTGGCGTGCAGCCCCCCGCCCCTCCACCAGCGTCTCTGCTGCCACGGGCTGCCCGCTCCCCTTCTCCCCAGGGCACCAGCCCAGGTGCCAACACGGCCCATCTTCACCAGAGCGAACGGCACAGACCATAGCAGCCGCGGTTCGCTCCCCTGCTCCTGTCGCGCGGGCTGACAGGCCGTCACCTGCCCCCGTGCCCCACGCCTGTCTGCACCAGCGCCCCACGCGCTCGGAGGAGCCAACTCGGAGCTGCCAGAGAAGAGGGAAGGCATCTTTGCCCTTGTGCAGAGAGGAGGAGGTGAAGCTGCAGGAAAGTAAGATTAGACTGGAGATGGGGGTGGGGGACTCTTCAGTGCACACACGGCCTCTGCTTGGGGTCTGTTGAGCGCACACTGACAACCTCTCATAGCAGCAGGACGGCGGGTGCTGCGGGCACTGCTTTCCCTGCGGCAGGGCAGGGCAGGGCAGAGGGCAAGCGGATGTGGAGTTCGGGGATGGTTTGGGCAGGGCCGATCCTGCCTCAGGCAGGGCTTGGACTAGCTGCAGCTCAGAGTCAGAGGCTGGAAGGGGCCGCGTGCGATCACCAGGTCCAGCCCCCTGCTCTGAGCAGGGAAGAGTGCGGGGGACACACAACCCCAGCAAGGTAAGCGTCCAGTCTCCTCTTGAAGGTCTCCAGGCTCGGTGCCTGCACCACCCCGCTGGGAGTCTCTTCCAGCCTGGTCACACGAGCCCTGACCCCGCCGTCTGCAGGCTGAGGCTCAGCATGGCCCGGCCTCCCTCTCGCAGGAGAGGAGGATGCTGGCGGGGCAGGAGGGACCCCAGCGCCCAGAGGCCAGGCCTGCTCCTGGGCCGTACGTGCAGCCAGGGCAGGCCCCGCGCCAGCGCGGCAGAGGGAAGCAGGACACAGAAACATCTGCCCCTGCTGCACCGAGGTCTCCAGCCGGCCCCACGGCCCACAGAGGCACTTTGTTCAGGCGCCTGCACGCACCCCTTCCCTCCCCAGCGCCACGCCTAGCACTTGGCTGCCTTCCTCCAGCCCCAGAAGCCAAGGCTGGTAGGGAG